GCTTGGTGGTTTTCTTGTAGACATCTCTTTACCCAACTAGGCAACATCATCAATGCTAGAAGGAAGTGTGGTTTGTGGGGGGGGGAGGACTGTGGGGTCCTTGATGCTCTCTGAGCTTGGTGGTTTTCTTGTAGACATCTCTTTACCCAACTAGGCAACATCATCAATGCTAGAAGGAAGTGTGGTTTGTGGGGGGGGGAGGACTGTGGGGTCCTTGATGCTCTCTGTGCTTGGTGGTTTTCTTGTAGACATCTCTTTACCCAACTAGGCAACATCATCAATGCTAGAAGGAAGTGTGGTTTGTGGGGGGGGGGGGGACTGTGGGGTCCTTGATGCTCTCTGTGCTTGGTGGTTTTCTTGTAGACATCTCTTTACCCAACTAGGCAACATCATCAGTGCTAAAAATGTGGTTTCTGGGGAGGAGGAGGAGGAGGAAGAAGAGAAGGAAGAGGAATAGGACTGTGGGGTCCCTGATGCTCTCTGAGCATGCTTGTTTTCTTGCAGACATTTCATTACCGAACTAGGTAACATCATCAGTGTCAGAAGGGAGCAAACCCCTCTCCCATCTAGCACTGATGATGTTATCTAGTTTGGATAATGAAATGTCTGCAAGCTCAGAGAGCACCAAGGATCCCACAATTAGGCCACTCTCTACAGTTTTTCTGTTGACTAAGATATCAGCAAAAAAATAAGCTTCCAAGTCTTGCTGTGTTATTTTATCTCTACTACCACATTTTCCCCCAAATAAGACTGGGTCTTATATTAACTTTTGCTCCAAAAGACGCATTGGGGTTTATTTTCTGGGAAATGCAGTACTAAACGCCTCCTTCTGGAGTATGATCTTAACTGAGTCTTATTTTGGAGGTAGGCCTTGTGAGCATCTTGAAAAACCATGCAAGGGCTTATTTTCCAGTTGGGACTTATTTTGGGGGGAAAACAGAGTATATCAAAGACTATTTGAACAGGTGGCTCCATGCTACACAGACCCTTCAGGCTTTCCACCACATTTCAGGTCCTTGGCCACCCCAGGAGCACAGCTTCACCTGGTAAAAGAAACACCTCGAGGGAAAAGTATCTTCCTTTGTATACGCAGAATTTCGTGCAGTCCCAACAGTGAGCCTCTGGAAGGATATCTGACAATTGCAGCCTTGAATCTTAAGGCTAACTGTTAAGCTGTAATACTTGGTTTGATGTTTACCACCTCTTGTCCAGCAGGTCCAAGGTCAGCTACCACCACTAATGATCCCCGTGTTCCCCCCAGACCAGCGAACCCTAGCAGCAGCAGCCCAGCAAGGATTTCTCCTGCCACCTGGCTTCAGCTACAAGACAGGCTGCAGTAAGTTACTCAGTTGTTTTCAAGCAGGGGTGATGGGCCTAAAGTGGAGCGGACGTGAGCTGGCATGGGGTAGCAATGATACACTATCATAGGCAGGCCATCCTCATTCAAACTGTATATTGTGTGGGTCAGAAGGTGGGCCGGGAAGGTATCTGCGGACTTCTCACATCCGGGGTGGGATTCAGCTGGTTCAGACTGGTTCAGTGTCAGCGTTCCAAATATCATACAGAATTAAATCAGAGTCCAAGGCAGAGCTATCCTTAAAGTTCCAATTTAATAAGACAGACATGTTGGCATCGATCTGTGGAATCGCAAATCTGAAAACTTCCTGGGATTCCATCCAG